GCCCTAGTAAACTCATCCAGCTCTGGCAACAAGAGGAAGGCGGATGCTGACCACCTTGAGGCTCCACTGGGCGTGCATCGGGAAAAGATGGTCACGGAACGCGTGGTTCTCGAAAATTTGAAGCGCACATTGTTGTCGGACAAGGACGGGGATCCAACCGAGTTCTTTGACAGTGTGTCTAGCGACAACATAGGAGTGTACTACAACGATGATCAGGCCTTGACCGCCGATGTACTCGAATTCGATGGCTACTTCGGATTTGAGGATATGTGATTGGGTGGACTTCCACCAACTTTCTTTCCAAGTGCAAGTGGAGGCGATTTCAGAGGGTGTCCTTGCAAGTATTCCTGGTTGGTCAGCTATGCCTGTTTCTTTAGTTTTCTAGTAATTCGGCTTGTAGGAGAACCTATCTAGAAACTTTTGATTTGGTTTAACTCCGGTAATATTACGTATAACAAAAGAAGTTATATATGCGTATCCCCCGTGAAAAAAAATTATATATGCCATAAGCCCAGCCAACACCTGTGCCACAAAACAAAAAAGAAATTTCGAAAAAAATGACAAGACATGTTCATGAAAGTGCTTAATTAGATGTCAAGTAGGGCATTTGCACAGACCTTAGGATAGCATTTGCACAAACCTTAGGATTACACATCAACACACTGTCTACATCCTTCCAAACCTACTGTTTTATAGCAGTAAAGTATGCTATACTAGTACGATACATATTGCAAACTGCAAAGTCTAAAGGAGTAAACTGACACCACATAACCCATTACTTTTAGCTTTTAAATTTGTGCGGTTTATTTCTTGAGTTCTTTTGGTTATGTGATTAGTTAAATTTGCCTGGTTTATCAAAAACAATGTGATTGAGTTATTTGTGCAGGTCATCTCTACTTATTGAATGTTGGTGGCTCTGGGGATCTATATCAATTTGGTGGCTACAAGTGAAGGCAAGATGTCGTTTCCACCATCAAAACTGTTGAGTCAGGAATTGATCCAACCAATAAAGACCTTCAAAATCTGAGACATTCGGTTGTTCTCATGATGTAACAGGGCCTTGACAAGGTGGTTAAAGACCTTCAAAATAATGGAGATGTTTGCTAACTACAGGACATATCAATCATCTCATTTGGTGAATGGCCTGATCGTAGGTCGGTGAACCACGAACAAAGATCAAGATTACCATTGAAGAAATTCTTCAATCGAGTACCCTTATCTCTCAATTCCCCACTCCTAGGTCCCTTGTCCTAAGAACATCTTTAATAGCTGATATAAAAGGTACACCCCCCCTAAACATAAGGACAACTCAGATTAGCCGATACCTCTTCATAAGTAAGGGCATGATACTCATATTTTATAAACTTTTCACGTATGTGCTGTTTTTTTTAAACACGTATACGGTGTACATGAACGACGTGCACACCCTGCCGCGCTGGGCTGGCCCATTCAGCCTTTTGTTTATGAAACCGCAAAAAATCATACCTCTTCATAAGTAAGGGCATGATACTCATATTTTATAAACTTTTCACGTATGTGCTGTTTTTTTTAAACACGTATACGGTGTACATGAACGACGTGCACACCCTGCCGCGCTGGGCTGGCCCATTCAGCCTTTTGTTTATGAAACCGCAAAAAATCATACGTGCTGCAGGATTCGAACCTAGGTCCTCCAAGAATTACCACAGCCGCTCTAACCAACTGGGTAACCGGACGTCAAATGTTATGAATATTGTTTAACACTTAAAATAGAATACTGGAAAAGCGCAACATTTTCTGTTTCCTATTTTCCTTTTCTTTTTTTTCTTAAATGCGTGAAGTTTTTATAATTCATGATTTTTTTCGAAAATGACGACAAAATTTCAAATTCTTGAATTTTTCTTCCAAATCAGTGACTTTTTTTTCAAAATTGATCAGTTTTCTTCACAAATTCGTGAACTATTTCGCAAATTGGCTATTTGTTTTTGAAAATTGTTGAACTTTTTTATAAAATTGATGAACTTTGTTTCTAAATCAATGATTTTTTTAAAATTTGTGATTTTTTCCCAAATCAATGAACTTTTCTTCAAAATCGATAAACTTATTTTGAATTTTTTATGAACTTTTTTCAAAATAAAAAAAGAAGCAAGAAAAACAAAAATATATAAAAACCCATGTAAAAACCGAAGAAAAAACCAGCCCGGTTGAAAAGGAAAACCAGAGTCTTTCTTTTTAGCGTTATATTTGACGCACTACAAAAAATTGAAAAAGAAAAACTTAGACCATGATCAACAGAGGTGAGTAGGCGAGATGGCTCCATCTAAGAGCACGTTGTTTCCGGACATGCTTGAAATGGCCCTAATATTTTTTTTCATGCCTTGTATGACTAATTCAAGGCACCATGCCAAGTTGTTTTGGTTTTCGACAAGTTTTGCATTTTTCAGAGTTTTCTCGGTCAAAAACGCCCGATAAATGGGCGGACGTGTCACAACTTGCATGCGGTGTCAGAAATCGTTCAAACCTGGCATGGATGACTACCATGGTCATGCCCACCTGGTTGAAAAGGTTGGGGTCATTTTAAGAATGTCCAAAAGTAGACCATGTTTAATGGAGGATGTTCGGGTTGGCTAGAAGACTCTACCTGAGGGTACATTGTTTCTCAACATCCTTCAAATGGCCTAATTTTTCCCACCTCCTTCTATGATCAAATCAAGACACCATGTCAAGCTGTTTAAGTTTTTGATAATTCTTGCATTTTTTAGAGTTTTCTCGGTGAAAACTGGCTGATAAATGGCCGGACGTGACACAACATGCATATGGTGTGGGAAATTCATTCAAACCTGACATGGATGCCTATCATGGGCATGCCCACCTACTGGAAAAGGTTGGGGTCATTTCATGTATATCATGTTCAACAGATTGTGTTCGGGTAAGCGAGAAGAGTCCATTTGCGGGCATGTTTTTGCGGCATCCATTAACTCACCGCAAATCTTTCCATGATCTTATATGACCGATTAAACGCACCATGCCAAGTTGTTTAGGTTTTCGACAAATCTGATCTTTTCTGGAGTTCTCTCGGTTAAAAAAGACAGATAAATGACAGGACATGTCACAACTTGCATATTTTGTCGAAAATCGTTCAAACCTGGCATGGATCCTTACCACGGGCATGCCCCCCTGCCTGCAAACGTTGGGATCATTTAAAAAAAATCAAAAGTAGACCATGTTCAATGGAGGGTGCACCCGGATGGGCATGCCCATGGTAGGCAACCATGCTAGGTTTAACAATTTCCGACACCATATGCAAGTTGCGACATGTTCGGCCATTTTATCGGACTTCTTTTACTAAGAAAACTCCAGAAAATGCAGAATTTGTCGAAAACCAAATCAATTTGGCATGGTTCCTCGAATTGCTCATAAAAGGCCATGAAAAAAATTAGGTCCATTTCTTCTTCTTTTTTGCTGGGGAGTTGGGGCCATTTCAAAGATATTGAAAAATAACGTGCTCTCAGACGAACCGTTCTAACCTTACCGAATAATCTTCATTGAACATGGTGTATTTTGGTATTGAAAAAAGAGAAAAGTGAATTAACAAAATTAGAAATGAAATGAAAAAATAGAAAAGAAAATAAAACAGTTAGGCCTTCGCCTAACTAGGCGACGACATTGCTCCCGTCGGGCGCGTGTGGGCCCGGTCCAAGAGCTCACGGATTTGAAAAAGTTCATCAATTTTTTACACAATATTCATGGATTTGAAAATTTTCCTCATAATTTTTTTTTCAGAATTCAAATTTTGTTCATATTTTTTTGGAATTCCAAATTGTTACTGATTTTCCAAAAATGTTCATGTTTAAAATTTTGTTCTCTTATAAAAAAACTGTTCGTGTTTTGACATTCTGAGCAAGTTTGAAAGGCATGAACATTTTTTCTGAAATTTATGTACAATTTTTAAAAAACAAATATTAGTATTTTAGAACAAAACAGGAAAGCTAGCTAGAAACCCTAACGAAAACCGTGCAAAAAAAAAAGAAACATAAACCAAAGAGTGAAGGTGGTGTGTTTTTTTTCTTGGCGTTATGTCTCTCAAACAAGAAGAGAAAAACAAGGTTTGTAGGCAAATCAGGTATGCAGCTCAGATGGTTTGTGTGGCCACATATAGTCTGTGACGGCTGTAGTTCGAATCCAGCCGAGGGCATCTATTCTTTTTTGATTAAAAGCGAGTACAATTTGTCAAAAGTCCATACTACCCTTTATACGTTTTGTGAGGGGGTGTGTGTGTGTGTGTGTGTGTGTGTGTGTGTGTGTACTGAATCATTGCTCGTATAGTTTTAGAGCAGAAGCGAGAAGGTTTTGGGGCATAGTTCTTTCGTCTGAATATAGTTTTAAATAGCGCGCTACAGGTGTTAGCGGCAGACCTCTTTCAAATGCTACAGCAATGCTATATTTAAAATTTTGTTCATGTGTTTGGACCAAAGACCCTTAGCGCAGGACCTCTTCTAAACGATATAGCGCGCTCTGAACCATCAATTTGGGCTACAACTTCATGTCCCTTTTCTCAAGCCATGCAAGTACCACAGCAAGTGCATAAATTGTTATCTTGATTGAAAGAACTACTGGCTTTCCCTTTGTTTCATTAAAACAGATGCAAACCGGCAATGTAGCAATGAAACTGAAGAAACAGATGCTTCAGTTTCAGAGTTTCAGGGTTGCAGCCTCTAATTATGAAATTTCCCGACCCCAGCGGCTGGCAAATTTTACATGCAACCTCATAGATCTGTGACTACATCACATTTACTGTATTGTCATCTCTGTATGCTCAGATTTCCAAATCTACCATATAAATACACTTACTGTTGCAGGCATCCATCCACTAGCTATCTATCAGCGTTGTGCCTGCTACAACTATAGCTCAGCCTGGCCCTCAAGCCTCGCTAGCAGAATTTTGTCTTCCTCCTCGGGAGGGCACCTGTACAGGCGTCCATCGACTAGCTACCGTGGTCATGCTTGCTTGATGATACCAGCTACTCAAACTTCTGCTCAGTTGGCGCCTCGAGCCTCTGCAGCAGAGCCTTCTTTTCCTCTTCGGGGAGGGCGTTGAATATGAAAACGGACTTGTCGCCGATGTCGTCCTTCGTTGTCAGCAACAGAACAGAACAGAATTATAAGATTCAACCAAGAAAACCTGTAACAGCTACAGCTAATGCTAAATCCTTGTCAGTGGAAGGCAATTAGATGATACCTTAATGGGCTGCTGGAATTTCCTAGCGGCGAACACAGTGAAGAGTGACATCCACACTCCTAAGAGGCTCAATTTTGTTCCATCGTCCATCAAGCCAGACTGCAAATATGTTAAGAGAACAAGTGTAAGAAAATTGAGGTGAATCTTTGCATTCCGTCTGGTCTGATTCAGTTGAGATGCTAAATCTCATGCGTCTAATTTACCAGGTGTCCAAGAAGAAGGATGGGGATAACAAACGTCAAGATACCAGCTTCCAATTTTCCATAGCAGAGACCTGTGAGAGTACATTTTTTGTCAAGACACATTTCACAAATTGAACTGTTCAATCATTCATTGCAAGGATTCAGCCAATGAACTAATCAATCAGAATGCTTCCAGTGAACAGTATAAATATCTCAGCTTTTGATGAAATCAGCTCACACAATCAGTACAAGGATTCTAAGATGAACCAATCTGTTCCACAGTTCAGTCATAAGCAGAGACAGTAATTGTACCCTCCTTGAAGACGAGGCCTGTGAGCGCGGCGAAGGTGGGCCCGACGAACCACATCGCCCCGGGGTGCTCGAGCACGTACCGGACGAGCCCCTCGTCGAGCGGCCGCGCGGCGAGGGCGTAGGTGCCGACGGAGCCGAGCACGCCGACCGCCCACAGCGCCTGGAGGAACCGCTTGATGGGGGTGACATAGATGTGGATGAGCACCAGCGACAGCCCGAGCCCCCCGGCCCCGGCGGCGTAGAAGAGGTCGGCGCCCTGCCGGACGGCGTCGCCGACCGCGTTCCCCTCCGCCAGGAACGCCCCCGAGGCGGCCACCAGGAAGGACGCGGCGGCCGTGACCAGCCCGGCCCGGTAAAGCAGCACCTCCCGCACGTCGGCGTCGTCCACGGACCAGGGCCCGTACACGCCGTTGTAGACGGTCTGGTCCGCGAGCCCGTCGCCGGCGGCCCTCGCGAGCCGCAGGGCGCGGCGGCCGCTGCCGAGGGGCGCGAGGAGGAGGGAGGGTTTCTTGGAGCTCGGGGCGAGGAGCCGGGCGTGCGGCGGCAGCGGCGCGAGCCGGAGGAGGGCGGTGGTGGCCATGGACATGGACATGGTGGAGGTTGCTGAGTTCGGTTTGGTATTCTCGGGGGATTTTTTTCGTGGGGTGGTTCTCCGGTGTGGCTTCCGGTGGGTTCCAGTGAGTGTGTGCTGGCCGTAGGCTTCGCGGACGGTGAGGATATTATCTCTGTTCTGGATCCAACGGCGTGTGCTCCATTTCCTTTTTCTTATCTTTTTTCTTTTTGAGACAAACTCGCTAAGCTTTATTCATATCATCTCCACAGTTACAGGTAGGAAAAGAAGATCACTAGGTTGTCCAAGCCAAACATGACGGCCGGAACCTAGTGTTAAAGCATGCTTAGCGAGATTGCGAGCCTCGGTATTCGAGCTCCTAAACTCATGGATTATATTACATGAAGTAAAAGCATTGGACCGATCCCTAATCTCATCTGAAAGACTGAACGGCTACTGTTTTATATTGTGAGAGGCATCTCTATTGTTAAAGGGGTCCGTTTCGTTTGTTAGCCCTTCATCCATTCACGTCGTCGGCCTCGTCGATCCCCCTCCCATCGATTTTTCTTTCAGCCCACTTCTTTTCTACCAAATCAAACGTCGGCCAGCCACTTCTTTTCTCTCGTCCAATTTCCCGAGCGAGTGCTAGGTCAAATCCCTCTCGCATACCGCCACCACCCTCGCCGTCGTCATACTCCTGCAGTCCCACTCGATGGCGTCGTCGCCACCATCCCACTCGCACTCCATCCCTGCTATCATCCAGCTCGCACGTCGCGCCACCCTCCCGCTCAAAACGCCGCCCTATCCTCTGACCCATCAAAGTCAAGCCCCTTGGGTGGTGGGAACAGTGACATCTGCTGAAAGGTTGTGGGGCTACCAGAGCACGGCAGCCGGCATGCAAGGCGTCTTGCATAGGGCTTCCATCCCCTTCGTCTGGCCCTCCACCTTCCCCGTACATGCTTTCCGACGTCTACCATCACCAATAGCACCACCTCCATCATCTATCTATCTCAAACCATAATTTTCAATCTATGAACTAGAAGCTCAATTGTTGTTGAGACCATTTCCCGATGTTAATTACAATTTGTAGTTTATGTTTGGAGGTCTAATTGGTGAAATATTTGTATGTCTAGATTGTTTATCATATAATTACCTCCACTGATCATGATCCACATGATGGCTTATGAGTAGGTTGTTACATTCTTGAAGACTTGAAAGAAAACTTGTTACGACATTCCCGAGGAAACTCAAAAATGTATATAAATTGCAAGGATTTGATGTACAGATCAATGTAGGACTATGGTAAGAGGCCCACAATATCTATGTACAAAAACAATTTTTATCAAGGCGGAAGAAGCAGCGTGGATGAGCCGGCCCACAGGATCTATCCGTCCATCACATATATATTTATTTTATCTCTAAATCTATGTACAAAAAAAGCCTGGTGGACTGGCTAGTACCTTCCTAATCAATGGATGGTTTAGGGTTCGGATCTCATCCTGTGGTGATTAAATTTTTGATTCTTTTTACACGCGGTGAAGAAAAGAAGATGCGGAACAGGCTCCTTGACTGCACGGTTTGAAGGCCCAACATGAAAATTTATTTATGCCTGGATGGACAAAAATTTGGCCGGCCCAGGAGAAAACAAGATGGTCTCGTTCCATGCACTTATTTTATTCTTTCTGTTCGCTTCATTCTTTTCTTCCTAACAACGTTTTTTCTCTTGAACCCATATATTCATTTATGTTTGAGAGAAATGTGAATACTTATTTTATGTTAAATGTTCATGTACTTTTGTAAAATGTGTCCACATGTTTCTAAAAGATATTCATGTATTTGTTTCAACAATTAATCATGGGTCTTTATTAAAGTGGTGTGTGTTTTACCAATATCCTAAAAAAATTAAAAGGGTATTTTCAAATAAAATATGGTATTGTAAAACTTGTTCACCGAAAGTTTTAAAATTGTTCATGTAACTCGAAAGAAGGTTCAAGACATTAAAATAATATCCATTGAGTAAGAAAATGTCCGTTATATATTAAAAAAATCTGTATCGTGCATTTAAAAGTGTTCACAGTGTAATAAAAATTGTTCATCATGTATTTTTCAAATCATATAAATTATTCGTCTATTATTTCAGAAATATCACAAAATTTTCAAACACACATTGAACTATTTTGAAATGTCGAAGACATGATATTTTTTAATATACTCGGTAAATTTTTTGCAACATTCGTGTGTAAACTCAAAATGAATATGTAAAGGGGGCCATGTAGGACTATGGTAAGAGGCCAACAGTATTTATGTACAAAAACGTTTTTATCGGGGTGGAAGAGGCGGCGTCGATGGGCCGGCCCACAATATCCATCCGTCCATCACGTATTTTTTTATCTTTGTATTTTCAATGCTCATGGACTTTTTTAAAAGGTGTCCACATGTTTCGAAAATATATTCATGTATTTGTTTCAAAAATTAATCATGAATCTTTATTGAAGTGGTCTGTATTTTATTAATGTCCTAAAAAAATCGACGGGTATTTTACAAAATAAAATATGGTATAATAAAAAGTGTTCACAGACATTTTTAAAATTATTCATGTACTTCTAAAGAGTGTTCATGAAATTAAAATAATGTCCATTGAGTATTACGAAAAGAGGGTTGATGAAAATTGTATAAATACTCGATAAATCATTTCTGGATATAAGGCAGACCATTTTAATTCATGATGTATATTGTCAAAAAAATACAAGATGAAAATTATGCGATCAACCCCTTTTAAATACACAAACAGAAAAAAAACTCACAATGAAATTTTTAATTACACATTCAAGATAATTTCTAAAACTGTTATGATATTGTTGTTACATATACAACAAACATTTCCTAACACCATTATAAACATTTTACCATCTAGGTTACAAACAAAAAAAGATAGTTAAGTAAATATGAATTAAATAACAATTCAAAATGAAATAAAAAAATGAAAATAGGAAATAAGTAAAAAAAAGAGGGGACAAAAGGAAATAACATAATAGAAAAGCACAAAAGAAAATACAAAGGAAATGAAAAGAAGAAAAAATAAAAAGACAAAAATAAAACAATCAATTTTTTAGACAAAATAAAAGAATTAAATGGATGCACATATGTGTTTTTCAAAAGAATAACCTGCGCCTGTACCGCAAGTCCAGAACCTACGTCCCCTTACATTAAGCGAGATACTGTTTTTGTAGCGCGAATAGTGAGTGTGTGCTCATGCCCATGATAGGCTGGCCCAATTGCCTCGTTCAGTTAGCAGGTTAAATAATTTGTTAGTGTATTCCTGAATTAAAAAAACAATTAAAGCATTAAAAATGCTCACACATTCCGAATACATTTGGAATTTTTGTTAAAAAATCATGAATTAATATAAAGGTCTTCCAATGATATCGCTAAGCTAAACCAGGTTCCAAAGTTTTAGAAAATGTCCGAGAAAGTTTTTTTAATAAATTCCTGAATTTAACATTTTTCTGAACTAAAAAAAGTGCTCATGAATAGAAAATCATTCCAAAAATGTTTGCACATATTAAAAATTAATCAAGAATTTTAGAAGAAGTTCCAGAACTAGAAAAGGTGTTGTCTAAGTTGATACACCCATGAATTTTTAAATTTTTACACTCATGAATTATTTTTTTAGAAACTTCCGTGAATTTTTCACATTTTAAAAACATATTCTTAAATTTCTACACTCATGAATTATATATTTTTTCTGAAAATTAATAACCCAAATTAAATTAATTGATGAATTTGAAAAAACTGAATTTTAAAAAGGATTCATGAATTAAAATGGTAAAGGAGAAAGGAAAGAGAAAATAACAAGCAGAAAAGAGAAAAAAATAGAAAAATGTTACAATACGAAAGACCAAAAGAAAACCAATACAGTCATTGAAAGAACAAGGAAGAAAGGGGAAAACCGGATGGAAGCTTCCAGAACCAGATTGACAACAGGATCCCCGAGTGGTAGGCCCAGCCTTGTCCCCCATATATAGGTCGAGGTTATGTGAGAATCTAGACAAGCTTTGATACACCCATTTTACATCACTATTTCTCATTATCAATTGCTCATTATTATGCATGTTTAATGTATTATCACACTATTCTTGTGATTTTCCCCTCTTAGTTTGCATGGTGCGACGAAGGAGGGGAGTTACCGAGAAAGTTGCAAAAGAGGGGCAAAATAGGGAACAATAAAGAAAATATTTTTCGAAAGGCAGAAAAAATTAAGAAAGAAATTCGCAGTTTCTCACAAGAAGAGAGCCAATGGGCATACTTGGGCCAAGAGGCCCCCTCTGGGCCCATGCGGCCAGGCCCTAGGGCTTGTGAGACCCACAAGGTTCTCCCCGGCCTCTCTTCAGTACCCTGGTCTTATTTTTCGAAAGCCAGAGCTGAACTCTTTTTGGCTCTTAGAAGTCTGATCTTCCGGGATCCTTCCCCTCCTGCCGGGGGAATTTGAAGCCATCGGCACCACCAATACTCTGTTCATCATGGAGATCATCATCGCCATCTTCATCACCACTGGCACCAACTCCATCATCATCTACTTTAGATCTGTTGTTGAGATCGCTTCCTGATGTTAATTACTGCTTGTAGTTGATGCTTAGAGGTCTAATTGGTGAAAGATTTGTATGTTTAAATTGTTTATCATATCATTTCCTCCAGTGATCATGATCCATATGATAGCTTGTGAGTAGCCAGTTACATTATTGAGGACTCGAAAGAAACCTTGTTGCAACATTCTTGAGGACTCCTCTGTTGCGCCAAGTGCATCAACCACATCATTAGCGACGAGGATATAGTGATCAACAAGATAGCCCACATACTCCAATTCCTATTGCCAGAAATCACATGTATGCATCAACCAAAAATCTAAAAAAAATGACAAATTTCTCATAAAACATGGACCAAACTGAGCAAAGCACATCGGCGGGGACTTATACTGTGTTTGACACACTTGTAGAAGACCCAACCATTGTGGTCGTCGGTAGTTGATGAGAGGCACCGCAACA